GCCACAAACAATTACATGAATAAGAGTGCTCGACTACATCGGTTCCATCTTAAGGACAGATGGTGGCTTGTAGGAGCAAGGGAGTGGGGGATAGATACGAAATGTCTCCGCGAGATTTTTTTGAGCCATTGTTTTGTTTTGCCGACCTTTACTAATAGTGTATTCGGAGAGGTGCAAAAGATCACGTCCCTATTTTTCTTTTTCTTTTCAGGAAAGGAATTGATGGTCTTTTCAGGAAACAAGGTCGATGGCGTGGTTGTCTGAGTCCATCTTCAAGGTATTCCCATCCATTTTAAATGCATCGTTGCTTCTCATGCTCACGATGACACCAGTGAAGGCCAAAATTGTAGTCAAACGCTGCGAAGCCGGTTATGTAGAAGCCGACCTATGCAGACAGACGTGTGAGGAAGATTGTAAAATGTCATGCGCACACGCCAAAACTCCGCCAAAATCGTGCGATCAGGTATGTGAGGACGGCCGTTGCGATATGAATTGTGTTTCCAAAGAGTCGTGTTACCAGGCCTGTGAAACACCGCTGGACTGCGGCTCAATGCGTTGCACAACAGCCAACTGTACTCAGGTGTGTGAGGTGGGAGAGTGCAATTTGAGCTGCAGGGCAAGTTCTCACTGTAAGCAGTTGTGTAATGAAGGATCGTGCAGCCTGAAATGTCCGACTGGAGATCACTGCCAACAGGTAAAGTCCAAGTTCTTTTAGATAGCAGGGATGACAATTCAGTACTTAACAAACGCTTTTGATGAATAAAGATGGTTTTGATGATCCGCAGTATGGGTCCCTGTCCGAAGGTATTGCGACAAAGCTAAATTATGGGAGGAAAGGGTGTAATATGATCATATGAACTAGACCGTCAAAGTAGAAGAAGAGCTGACAACTGTAGACACTGTAGACTTGCATATCACGTTTGCATTTGCTCTATCACCGGAATCCCAAGACTCATTTTCCCNCCCCCCCACACACACACACCCACCCACCCCTCGAATTCCAGACGCTGTAAGTCAAGGGAGGAGGGGAATGAAAGAGACCCCCAGAGCTAGACTTCTGAGCCACGAAAAGTTTCACAAAAAAGTCTTCCTTTTCTTTGAATCACGGCGAGTGTCAACATTACTCATAGGTTCAAGACCTAAGGCTTTACTGTTGCCTATACAGTTCCTACACAAAGTAAAAACGACTTGGACGGACTAATTGACTTAAAAGATCCCCAAGTCTCAACAATTACTTATATTCTTATGTTTGTTTTTGAACGCGCTAGTCCTGCTGGGACGGCAACTGTCGAGCGCTGTGCAAAGCCAGGAAGTCATGCAACCAGAACTGCGACCAGGGAAGCTGTCCAATGAGGTGTGTCACAGACGATTGTCGGCAAGTCTGTGATAGCGGGGAATGTAAGATGAAATGCAGAACTACTAACGATTGTGAGCAGAGCTGCTTGCCATTTTTCAGCGCCTGTCCATTGATGGACTGTTACAGTAAACAAAAGTCCTGCAAACAGGTAAGCGATGTACAAGGGGTAGCAGGTTTTGTAGCTGTTCATGTTGGCCAACTGAACCCTGTTTTAAATCCACGTATTTATTTCCCATACTTCTGAGACCTGCTTTTTTGCCTTTTCGCCTCCTATTTTTTTAATGTAGAACTGGCTCCCAAGAATACCATGAAGTTATTGACCAATCGGGAGAGCTGGGGGCATATTGTTTTCCTTGAGGGCCGGACCGAGCGCAGCGAAGAGAGAGAGAGAGAGAGAGAGAGAGAGAGAGAGAGAGAGAGAGAGAGAGAGAGAGAGCCGCATATTATTTCCTCAAGCTCGACCTGACACAGGCAAAGAATGGCACATGATAATACCATTAGCTATATTTCCACTTCGTTTTTGTCCCTTAGCTGGGTGGAGGCAAACAAATGATAATCCGAGCCAAGGAGCAGGGCTATCAATACTGCAGCAGTGGCAATTGTCAGCAAAACTGTACAGCAGACTTCAGGTGTCACCAGAACTGCAAGGGTAACTGCCATCAACAGTGCACAGCTGGTGAGAGATGTTACCAGTCCTGCTCCATTGATGGCAAATGTCAACAAACGTGCAATTCAAGCGAGTGCTACCAGCGTTGCACAATTGGTCAGAACTGTAACATGACATGCCAAGCTACAGACCTTTGCGAGCAGGTATGTTTCTCAGGTTTCTTCCCAATTAGACAACAGCATTTTATAGGAAAGCTGTTGCCATCTCTGACAAGAGACAAATCCAGCTAAAACAGCAGTTAACATCCCTCGGGGTCCCACTAGAAACAGGCTTCTTCACATCAAGAGGTTTTCTGTAGGAACCAGGCAACACCATCCTTGAGTAGTATTACAACTGGAATCCAGGCTAAGACAGGCATTAGGTCAGACATCCAGTGTTGTAGTTCGTACAAGGGGAATAAGGTCGAGCCCAAATTACAAGGAGAGAGAAGAACGGCCAGTTTAGTCTCCACCCACCCCCTTGCACTTCTTTCCTCTAACGTACCCGGCTTTTTCTTGCACCCTTGATGCAATTGTAAGTATTCGACTTGTTCCTGGGTCCACCGTATCATGAATTGCGGGATCCAGGCGTACCTGTAAGGAATGAAGCAAAGTAGGGATTAGCTCTGTCTTAGTCAAGAAAAAAAAGGGCTGGGAGAGACGGCAGGTCTGTTTTCCCTCCAAGAAGGAGGCCTAAAAGGCTTTCGGCTTGGGCTTTACATTTTAAAGCAAAACTTGGAAAGGACCAAGGCCTTTGTGCCGCCACTCTAGATCTGCTAATGCGCAGAGTCAGAATCCTTCCACATAACGGAGAGTCTGGATGGGGGGAGCTGGAATCACAGATATCAGTTAAATCTAAGGCGATTTCTCAGTTACTAGTAAAAATTTTAAACCGTTTCTCGGCTAAAACAGACCGGCAGCTAAAAGCAAACATTTTAGATCTTCAATCTTAGATATCAGTTACAAAGACGCGTCATTTTTCAGCTAGCAATTCAAGTACCATTCCGTTCAAATCTCAGCCATGGCCATAAAACCAGTTCTATTCAGATCCTGTTAACGTGACCTGTTTCCTCTTTGCAGCAATGTTCTGAAGGAGCTTGTCACAGCGTGTGCCACTCGACATCATGTACTCAACTGTGTGACTCTGGGAACTGTTCCATGGAATGCAAAGGGTTGAAGTGTCGACAGAATTGCACGGCCGGAGGCTGCCAAATGACGTGTCCCGTTAACGCAGAGATATGCGTGCAACACTGTGGGGCACAAAACTGCATTGTAACAAGAGCAGCAAGAGGACACGTTTCAACCAAAAGTTCTAAGGGAGATCATGGAATCCACTTCCAAAGGAAAACAACAAAATCAAACAGCGGTGGTTGGTCTGTGGGTCGTCTAAATGAAGACTTAAATATGATGACTTTGTGCGCTATCGCGATTGCCTTAGCTTACTAAGTATAACTAGCACAGAACAGCCAGGGAAGTAATAAGAGCTGATAGCAACTGGGAAGTCGAAGAACGAGCCGATAGAATAATGTAAGACTTAGAGTGGGGAAGTCTTTTAAGAAACCGACGTAAACCCAGTCATCTACTCGCGGGACGCAGCAGAAATGGAAAGTCCTTTTTTCGGGCGTGTTTAAAAGTACCTCAACAGATTTAAAGAAATGTCCCGTCCATAAAGGGATGACAGTTATTTCAGGATTTTCTCTATCTCGCGTACTCTTACCATACGGTATATGGTCTTATAATCTCTTACAATCCACCAAATTCTGAGCGCTGTAAAGCGCACGGAAATCAAGATGTGCTCGGATCGGTTTTCAGCTCCTGATTGGTTATGCAAAGCCACGTCTGTGCTTAATGGTTAAAAATAAGATCCAATAGGCTATTTCCAAATTGGCAAACTCTGTCTCAAAACGGGTCCATGTGCGAAACAATTCATGTGAGAATGTGAAAAACGCAAATCAAACTCATTTTCGCATGAAATGTTTTACACGAGGACTCGTTTTGAAGCAGAGGGACAAGGTAACTCGGAAGTGGCTCATTATTGCACTTGGCAAACACAAAAACAGAAACATACCCATAATCACCTCCATCGCCTTGGACAATTGCTGGAAAACCAGTCATGATATGATTTGTAAATTGATGTAAATTGACAGTGGATATAGACTTCCTTTTTTGTAAAGAAATAACTTTAACTTTGGTCAGGCTTGTCAATAGCGTAGGTCCCGTTTGGATAATCCTATCCACCCAAAGATAATGCTCTGGTCAAACTGTGCATGAGATAGTCGATGAAAGTCGATGAAAGTCGATGAAAGTCGCTGATAGTAGATGATAGCCGATGATAGTTGATGATAGTCGAAGATTAGTCGATGATGGTCGATGACAGTCGAGATAGTCGATGATAGTCGATGATAGTCGATGATAGCCGATGATAGTCGATGATAGTTGAGATAGTCAGTGATATTCAAAGTCGATGATAGTCGATGATAGCCGATGATAGTCGATGAAAGTCGATGAAAGTCGATGAAAGTCGATGATAGCCGATGATAGTCGATGATAGTCGAAGATAAGTCGATGATAGTCGATGATAGTCATTGAAAGGCGATAAAAGTCGACGAAAGTCGATGAGAGTCGATGATAGTCGATGATAGTTGTAGCGCGAGCTTCCGTTTGAACACCAACCATCATGCACAGTCATCGACTCTCATCAGCTATTCTTCACGATAGTCGATGATAGTTTTTCCCGTTTGACCACACGTATGACCATGATAGTTGATGATAGTTAGGGGAGAATCAAACTACATTGTATTATTAAAACCTGTCTCATTGGATAATGCAATTCAAGAGTTTTCATGGGCTTAGCCATCGTGGTATATGACCAATTATACCATGCTCTACAAATATGGTAAGCGTACGCGCAATTTTTGTGGCGTTTTTATTTTCATTTTTATTTTAGTTTTCTATATTTTGGTGGCGTTTTCAGGAAAACAATTATTCTACTCGCGCTTGTTGGATGTGATGATTATAGCCAACTCGACGCTACACGCTTCGTTGCCTATCTATCATCTCATATCCAACGCGCGCTCTGGAATAATCGTTAACTATCATGCGCGTTTGACCAAGGCTTCAAAGAGGTAACAAAGCAACTCTCTGAATAGCGGTATCCATCATTTGTACAGCAAGGGCTAGTCTCCTCCGCAGCCGTTTTTTTTGGATGTCACGAAACGCGTTGCGTGACATCCCAAAAAACGGCTGCGGAGGAGACTAAGCAAGGGCCAGACGTTTTTCTATGTAAAAACATTGTAAATAGTCGGAATTTTTACAAGAGTATTAAGACAACTAATATATTCTAACTTAATGTATTTAGAAGTCGAATAAAGAAGTTTAAGTAAAAACTAAGCATTCCCTGAGGTTAATTTTCATTCGTTTAATATATTATATGTAAATAGTAGGTAGAAAAGAAAGACATTTTGAAGTAATTTTAATCTTCAATGTACATTTTATACATGCATTTCTTATAATATAGTAAATGGCTTGAACCTAAGACTATCAGTAGTTCGTCTAGAGTGTTTGTCTCCGTGAGGGTAGTTTTGAAAAGAACATGTTGGTGACGGATGACGGCGGAAGTCACCTTCAGAGTCGATTGGAAAGCGTTTGCTAGTTGATGGTCTTATAAATGTGGACCGTTGAAGCCAAAAGTGTTAGTTTTCTGTGTTATGAACCGAAAACAAGCCCTTGAAAGCTTGTAAATTTACGGCGGGCGTGCGTACGTACACACGGACAATCACGTGACCACCAAATTCTTTTGGCTCCAAATTTTCTCACCTGTGGTGCTCAACTCGGACGCCTTCGGCGCGGAGGAGCTCTGCTCAGATAGAAAAATATATTAACGCGGGGTATTCAATACAGGGGGTTGGAAATAGATGATCCAGTAGTTACAACAGTATTTAAGGGGGCTACGTGACTGATGGTATACCAATAATAATTATTACAATAGAAATTTTTTAACTTCATTGATCATAGCATCCTAAAGCTTCTTAGTACACTGTATATAATACATACAGCTCCTTAGAAATGGCGGTCCCCATTTAACAAAGCAAAATTTTAATGATTCATGATAAGTGTCAGATTCATCATCACCATCGCGATAATGACTTTAAGTGTCGCGAATGTGTCTGTTACCATTATTGTTCATTACAAGTAAACTTCCGAAAGTAATGACCCTTGTTACTTTCGGAATTAGCAGCCTTTGGGGCTTGTTACTTTCGGAGAGCAAAAAACGTTACATAAAATTGATACGACTGAGCGCTTTTCACGAAATAAAAGACGCAAAATCATAAAAAAAAAAGTCCTTTGACATGAGATACAACTCTTTGTTCCATTTTACTGCCGGATGGGTGGGCTCTTCATGTCTAGACCGTGTTGTCAGTGGTCGGCAGGAAAGCTAGTCAGATACCGTTAACTGTTTGTAATTCATGACGCACTGCTATGTTGGTCCACTGAAACAATATCTCAGTGCGTTCCTTTTAATGCGCTCCTGTTGAAAATGATATTAATTTGAATCAAAGTTTCTCTTGGTACGTTCCTGTTACTCTTAACTGATGAAGTACCAACTGACATCTCACAACGCTTCCTGGCATAAGGGATACCTTCCCTTGCTGTAGACAGCTTTAAATCAAGTTTAAATCAAGTACTTTCACCCGACTGTTGATTAGTAAAATAAATATTCTATAGAACCTTGATCTCATCATTTTCGGGGAGGTGAGTAGGGGTAAGCTCGCTACTTTCGGAGGTCGCCACTTTCAGGATTTATGAGCGGCCAGAATTTTTGACGTTACTTTCTGGGGCTCGTTACTTTCGGAAGTTGTAGCATGTGAATGGGCTATTGCTTATTCAGATGCTGTGTGGGCAACAAGATGATGAACTTGGATTATTTAAAACCTGAGCCAAGTCTACATTCCTTGAAAGAGGTGGGGAATGGTCCTTCAAAACCCATGGGTCTCGCAAAATTTTCGCCGAATTTCACGGGTCTCGCAGTCTCGTTTTTTAGCGGTTATGTGCGTCTCGCAGTCTCGATTTTTCTCACAAAGCTGTCTCGCAGTCTCATTTTTTTCAAGGCCAAGAAAGTCGCGAAGTACCGATTCGTTTACCTTTTTTTTTAGTAAAGTTAAATGACACCACAACATCTTATAACCTGAACGTCTTGAGTTCGCATTTAAAACACTTTAAAGTCTCGGTCTCGCAATTGAAGAAATCAAAATGTCTCGGGCTCGTAAAGAAAAACGCTAATCTCGTCGTCTCGCAAAGTCTCACATTACTATTCGCCACCCCTCTTGAAGTATTCTTAAATGATGCAGTTAAGCTGTATTGCGTGGTTCAAGAATCACCTTCAATTTCAGTCAAAGCCAGACGTATGGGTTACATCGACTCCATTATACCACCATCAACATGTCCTTAACCCTTGTCCATAACTTCATCTTCTTAGAATTTAAACAGCCCAGGCTGAAGAGAGAGACATCTATCCCTGTTTTCTGCCAGAGAGACACAGAGATTGCAACCAGAAATATCCAACACTAATGTTTCATCCCTAAACAAATCCATGTGAACGTTATGTCTCAGATTCAATTATTAAGAAACACATTCAAAACCAACCAATGTGAAGCACCACACAGATTACTATTGCCAGAGTTATGCCAACAGCATCAAATTCTTCAGGGGTTACATTAATAAAGGTCAGACACCAGGCAAATTGACCAGCTGTGAGGACAATTCCTGCCCACCTGGTTTGACTGTCTAGAGTATAGTTTTTCTTCAAAGAATTTAAGTTCAAATAGTTTTGTCCATCTGTGAAAACCAGTTGCTCTCCTGCTGAAAACATCAACGAAACCTCTGAATTCTTTGGAGCAAATCTCACATGTATCGAGCAGGGTGCAGATAGATGATATAGATCCCTGGTTAGTCACACCAGAGACATCTCTGATACATGATATGTTATGTGATTAGTCCATAGTGAATATTCTTGATGCAATGTCAGAGATGATCCAGTCTATGCCGTCCAACAGCTTTTCTCCAGTCACGGCACTACACCATTGAATGTTCCAGTGATGGGTCTTAATAGATTCCAAATCAAGAGTCTGTCAAAAAATAAATAAAATAGAAATTTTCACTCCTTTGGATGAAAGTTGTGTTTGTAATATTCAGCAGATTATAAGACTACAGAAAGTGGGAATATGTTGTCTTGCAAGCCAAAACTTATCATTTAAAGTCTTAAAGTGCCCATGATGTCAAAACTTTTTTTTTCACTCATCTAATTCTACATTTCACCTAATGAGCTTCTGCGAAAAATCTTTCGATTTCGATAAAACGCAATTTTTTTACAAATCTTTACAAAGTTCAAAATAATTATTCTATTTTCTTGCGGTCGACTCCTGCCACTGATCACAAGAATAACATGCTCAAAGTGGCCATGAGACTGATGCCTGTAATGTAGGATCAGGAACCTACGATGAAGACTGATGTTGTTTTCTGGATCATTAACGTTGTTACAAAGAGTGGCAATGCACCTTTCCAGCATTTTCAACTAAATGTAGACAAATCTGAAGCAAAATTTCCACTTGTTTTCAAGTCAGATAAATCATGACCTAAATCACGTGTTCCTGAACCTACGTCACAACTCACTTCAAACTGAGGAAGACTGGTGCGAATGGTGGACCAAAATGGCGGCAAATTTGAACGTCTTTAAAAACTTATAACAAAATTGCATTTTATCGAAATCAAAAAATTTTTTTGCAGAAGTTCATTAGGTGAAATGTAGAATTAGATGAGCGAAAATTTTTTTTTGACATTATGGCACTTTAACATTCCTAGCTTATTCCTAGCTTATCACTACCTTGGGCCAAACTGGCTTAAAATATTACCATGAACCATACATCTGCATACATCACACAATATATCTACAATATAAGCTCAGTAAAGGTAAAGTTAAGTCTGCACTCAAGTCAAGAGGCCCATCAGGCTGGCACTTATCTGTGGTTTATGTAGCATGAAATGACTAGGAGTAATTCCACTGGTGGATCCAGACGTTGAGCTAAGGAGGNCTTCAGTCATTTCTTCTTTTTTCACCCAAAATAAGGGGGAACCCGGGTTTCCTCCCCTATATCCACCACTGATTTCTACTCCTCCCTGGATGGGATGCTAGCCCAGAATTAAATTCACCAGAACCCACTTATACGCCTGGGTGGAGAGAGTAATTCAAAGTGTCTTACCCAAGAACACAACATAATGTCCCGAGCCAGGGGTTGAACCCAAAATGTTCAGTCTTGAGTCATGAACACTAACCACGACGCCAGCAGAAACAATGGAGGCTTGCAGAGCATGTGAAGGAATACTGACACATAAACTTCTGAACGCATTGTATGCCTACGATGATAATAGTTACAAGAAAATGACTTACGTCTCTAATTTCCTCAGCAGATAATGCACCAGGAAGATCCTGCTTGTTGGCAAAGACCAACAGTGTAGCACCTGCAAGCCTCTGGTTAAATAAAAGAACGACAAACACATTTAACAAAATGTAAAAGAATGCTTTGAATGGGGGTGGAATTTCTTCCAATCCCTCAGTTGTGAGCATCAGGTGATTTGGCACATCATTCAGCAGCCTATTGCTAACGTCTTCAGAGAGTAAGCATTTGTATACAAGAGTTTCCTGTATTAATTATGTTAGTAACTTTCTTATCCTTCATTGACAGTACAGATACAGCTACAGTATAATAATACGACCACAAGATAGTTGCTGATCACGATATCTGTTGTAAAACTTCCCATAGCCTCATGACTAAGAGTGTATCTACTTCCCCTGGATGAGACACTGTACATAATGAAATGTTTCACTGCACTTTATCCCAAAACTGGTCCATCAAAAACTATGGGTCTTGCAAAAATTTCACAGGTCTTACAAAGCTGTCTGTTTGTCTTGATTTGTTTGCAGGGCTAAGAAGGTCTCACAGTCTGATTTGTTTGTATGTTTTGATACATGACATCTGAAAATCTTAGAGTGTGAATATCTTGTGCTCCCATTTTAAGCACTTTGAAGTCTTGGTCTCGCAATTTGAAAAGTCAGAATGTCTTGGGCTCTCAAAAAGCAATGCTAGTCTCACCTTCTTGCAAAGTCTTGCATTTACCATTCACCATCCCTAATTAGGCCAGCCATGTGTGTCTATCTCAGTGGATGTCTGTCCTACATTAGATTCTGCTTTAAGGTTACAGTATACCTTCAGGGGTGTCTCGCGCGCAAGCGATGTAGCGCGTGCAGTTTAAGCTGTAGATACCTAAACCCCCATATCAAATTA